TTTATAAGAACTCAGTAAATAAGGTATCATTTAGCAATAAGTTAATTTTTCATTGTATTGTTATGCATAAATGCATATTTTTATACATTTAAAACTATATTTAAATTATGTATTTTTTATATTTAATACTATATATTTACATATAAAACATATTTTTAAATTTAAAAATGTTAATACATATTTATATACATAAATACGGTTTAAACTTAAAAATATATATTGATACATACAAATATGGTTTCAATATAAAAATACACATATATACATAATATAACATACATTATATGTTAAAAATACATATGTATACGTAAAAATATAGTTTTAAATGTAGAAGTGCATATTTATATGCAAAAATACATAACTTTTTGTAAAAATATTTGTAATAATACTTCATTTTATACATAACAATATGTTTTTTATTATTTATTTATACATATTAATATGCAAATAATACATATGTATATAAATACTAAAAGATACTAAAATACATATCTGAAATTTACATTATATACAATATCGAGAGTAAAGCCTTCATCAAACAAGGTAGAGATCCATGTTTGATTGTAAGTCTCGTTAATTTTCAATTTTTCTTTAAAAGTTAGCAGCCTTATAAGCTGAAATCGCGCATTGGCTCAATGGTAGAGTCAACGCCTCCCTTAAGGTCACGAGTTTGAAACCAAGCATAGTCATTTCTTTTCTTTCTTTTAATAAATTTGTAAGATTATTGGTATAATATGTATAAAAAAGTGCAATGGCAAAATATGTGGTAAAATATATACAAAAACAATTAGTGGTATTTTTTAACTAAAATTAAAATATTAGTGATATTTCGTGGACAAAGTTAAATGATTATTGCTAAATCATATTAAAAAAAAAATTCACCCGTAAAATATGTACCAACTTTTAAGTCATTAGTTTTTTTCAGGTCAACCACTTTGATTTACCACAAATCAATACAAAGAAGTTATCAAAAATTGAGTGGCTTTATTGAAGTTTTTGGACTAAACTTTGACAATGATATTTCACTAAAACTATAAAATTTTCACAATGTTTTTTATTTGTGATCACTTTAGCAGGTCAAAACGGTCAATATGAAAAATATATCAAACTTGGGTGGCTTTCATATATTGTTTAAACCATAAAAATCGTCAAAAAAAAATCTATAATTTCACATATTTTTTACGCCACAAAAATCGTCAATCTGTATAATGTATGTTAAACAATGTATTCTTTTACTTCCATTTAATAGAAAAAAAAATTATTTTACATACTATACTTTTTTTTACGTAGACTAAAGTATGATATACTACATATTTTTAACAGAAGAAAAAAAAAACAGCCCAGTTTTCCGTGTGTTTTTGTTTAGACTTTAGACTTTAGGGCTTCTAGTGTCGATGTTATTGGTACTGAAGCCTATGGTCGGTCAGTTCTGACTTCGTAGACAGTCCATTCATCAATGTGCTATTCAAATTTATTAACATTTTAAATCACATCCACATACTCACTTTCCAATATTTATATTTTCTGACATGCTTGCTATCAATCTGCAAAATATGTTCACATCTTCCGCTTATATAATTCATTTTCTTATAGAATATAATATCCAAAACTTGTCATCTTTTACTATTATATTTTATATAAAAAAAAAATCACAAGAATTGTTATTAATTGATTAAAAGAAAGTATGTTACCTCAAAAATAAAAAAACACAATTTTGATTTTATTATGTAGATTGTGATGATGAGGTAACCATGTGAATATTCTGCGAGGGAAATGAACTGCTGCAGATAAAGTTAAAATCTTAGTGGTAAAAAGTAAAACTGACTTGACTGACCACTTGCACTACGATTTCAAAAGTGTTTTACACTTTTACTGCGATCTTTGGCTTTCAGTGCAACTTTTCAAACCCCTATATCATATGAGAATCAAAATAGCCCCCATAAATCAATTGCATGTCATGCCCAAAAACTTACAGATTCCATTGTTGAGATAACTTCAATCATGAAGATGAAGAAACCACCTCTGAAAATGTAAATAACAAGTAAAATTAAATGTTTTTTTTTCTTTCTCATGGAATATAACTTGTACAATGGTTTGTACCTTGTGCAATAAAAGTTTTATGTTCATAACCACTCAAGTCGATTATTTAGGTTTTCTTTATGAAAGTATATTTCCGGTTTTTATTTTCTTTTGTTAGTATTAGTACACTCTGTATTTTAGGATATTTCATTTAGATAATAAATTAACTCTAGTAATATATAACATCAATATTAAATCTAATAAATGATGTTCCCTTTATTTTAACAGAAAAAAGTGTAACCTTAACTTGAGAGTTGATACATAGTATGGTAATGTTAATGGTTTGGGATAAAGGAAGAATAAATTTACTAAACTACAAAAAACTGTCCATGTGGTTGGTGCTTTATCACTTTTGATGGATACAATACAATCCAATAGTTTCCTTTTTTTTTTTTTTTTGCTTTTTCCATCCCTAAGACCATCTTCGATTGCAATTTTAGTCCCTGGGCTCTGTTAAAATCCATAAAAATGACCATTTTGTCCCCATCTTCTTGTATAGTTTAGTAACTACTTGTTTTCATGATTTATAAAGCTATCCATAGGGAGATACCACGATGCTTTCAAGAGGATATAACCTTAAAAAGTATATACAAAAGAAAAAAAATACATAAAAAATCATGTTTCATGAATATGGAAGAACAACTAACAACTACCTTGAACTTGTTTCCATTTTGACTTGTGGAATGATTCACCTTCTATTCAAGGGAAGTTGTAGGTTCCGGATGTGTTGGCTTTCTTGATTCCAACATTTCAACTTCATATCCATTTGTATTTGAGTCTTTTTTCTTATTCTCTGCTGCAATCTGTTTAAGTTTCTCCATTCGTATGGCATGCAACTCATATCTGTTTATCAAAATACCAATCAACTTACCTCTATTGCTTTGCAAATTAATTAGAAATAAAAAAGATTCATGAAAGGTAAATCTTACTTTGCAACATAGTTCTTCACAAGGATAAAATAAATTCTCCAAAATTGTCCTTCTTTCAAGTAGCGAGGACATAATCTAAACCTAAGTTGTGATAGTTCCTGTCAGAGAAACCATTCAATATCTTTAGTGTAAAGTAAACGACAAAATTATTTTTTACTTTTACTTTTACTATTATTGGTAAAAAAATAAACTGCATTGCTCATATGAGTAGCAAAAAAGTAAAGTATGTTGCTATTCCCCCCAAATTTTCTCATCAGGAACATAAAGATAGAATCCACCACATAGAATTCATCAATGGGAGATTCAACTTTAATCTGATATTTATAAGGAAGAGCACCTCTGACCATTTCTTAAGGTTAAAAGGGCAAAGAAAACTACACCTAGAATGTTCAAACTAAACACCAAAGGAATGTCTGCCCTATAATACTACTACTCTATCCATTTTAACTTGAAAAGCTCCATGGATTCTTAAATATTTCAATTTTCTATGAAAATAGATACTTGATAACGAAGTCCAATCTGCAGCAATTACACACCAACTTCAACACTTTATTCTCAAGTTCTTCTTGCATCTGATTATCTAATTATTTGATTCCGATAGTTGAAGCAACAATAATCACTTTAATCCGCAAATCCAAACACCCCCTAATTTACCAGTCATATGGTAGATATTGTTCATCGCTAGTAAATAGATTGCCAAAAAATCTAGGGCTGCGACAATGGCATAAGAACAAGAGGCGGATTCATTAAACCAAATAAAACCCTAAAACCTAATTACAAAGTAAAAAGAAATCCTAACCTTGGCCCTTGATAGGACAAGGACGGCATGTTTCTCTTGCCAATCAGACAAATCCTTTTGTATATTCCCAGAAGTTGATTCAGCTCCATCATCGGCTCCTTGTTCATCTAAGAAGGCCCCAACTCATTAATCATCGTTAAATAATAACATATAAAAACCACGAAGCACGAATGAAGAAGGGAGTACCTTGGAGATTGAAGTTCTTGAATGTTTCAAGAGTGAACGACTTGATGAGATCAATCAACTCCTCAGTGATTCCATACAACTGTTCTTCATCGTTTTGATTGCTTGTTGCCGTTGTCGTTGCTGATTGCGATAAAGATCCCTTTTTGCTAAGCCGAAACCATGAATACACATTCATCTTCACTGTTAAACAGAATGCTTGCCGCTTAGGGGGACTTTTGTAAATACTACGTTTTCAAGGTGGTGTTCTTATTTTGGTAAATAGATCTTTTTTAGGGTTTTTATTTTGGCTTAATCCCAAAAATATCATCATTTTAATACGAGAAGTTAACTTTAATGACAGTTTTTCAGATGTTTTATAGAATCATACAATACAACATTTTAAATCACAAATTATTATATAGAAATAAAAATTGTTATCTACAAATCAACTTCTTTTTACTATACTTTCAACATTAAATATAAAGCGGTCATGAGTAATTTAGGAGGTGTTTGTTTTATCTTTTAAAACATTTTTTAGCTTTTAGAAAAATATAAAAAGCTAAAAGATGTTTGGTAAAAACAACAGGCCTTATAAAAGCTGCTTTTAGATATAAGAAAAATAAACTTTTTGGAAAAGTCAGGTAAACCTGACTTTTTACAACTTTTCCTAAAAAGACTTTTGCCCTCTCAAAAGTTAAGTCAAACACCCCCTCAATTTTGTTTATTCTTATTTTTGATACATAAATGATTTATGGTTCTTTTGGCAAATGATTGCCATAAATAATCTACAACCATTATAGAAACTCTTCTAAAGTTCTAACAATAAATGAGTATTAACATCTTCTATAATTTTTACCAATATATTACATGGTGAATCCCACACAAATTGCAATTTTATCATCTTTCATGTTCTTTTAATTAACATATATGGCCAAGTTGTCGGTGCAAAACACAACACAGCTATATGAGCACATCATTGAACACAATCAAATCTTGTCATTGATGGAATTCATCTAATATATGAGATTTGTAAAAGGGTAAGACCTTTGTAGAGCATGTAACCGCTTGTATAGCCATTGATTTTTTTATTAGACAATCAAATTTTGTTGTCTGTTCATATATTTTGATTTTGTTTTGAACCTTACTCGTGGGGTCTATATATATATATATATATATATATATATATAATCAAACAGTTAGACTATTCAACTTTTTTAAAATCAATAAATTATTGTATTATTGTATGTTTAGCTATATATTGAATCGCAAAAAACTAACAAATTCCGAAAATTCTTTAACGCATTCCATGATGCAATTTTCATCCTCTTCACGTTATATATACATTATTTAACATGTTGGGTCAATGTGGTAATATATCTACATAACCGAACAAGTTGATTATTGTTATTTCACTCACATATTGTATTATGAAACCCAAACAAAATTCTATAACTATATTGTGATAGCGTGATATGTTATTTTCTATATTTTTCTTCGTTTTATTTGTAATATATTAACATGTTAGTATATAATCAAATCATTAATTTTATCCACATATTCTGCTGTGAAATGCCTAGAGACCATGAAACTCTAAGCACCACGAAATATGACATTTTCATATTTTTGCACCTTAATATAAGTTTGTTGTTCTGAAAAGAATGTAACTACTTGTAATCTTAGCCATTGATTTGTTTATTAGACAAACAAATTATGTTGTGTGTTTCTTCATATAAGTTTGTTCTAGAAAAAATATAAGCTTGTTGTTCTAACACAAATGTAATGGATTGTAATCTTAGTCATTGATTTTTCGATCAGGCAGACAATAGATTATTGTATGCTTATAATTTTTTAATTATACTTCTATTTAATAAAATATAAAAGCCGATTAAAAAGTAAAAATATATTTTTATGAAATGTATCGTCAGTTTTTTATGATTAAACTAAATCAAAATTTGATACGAAAGATATCCACATACCAAGTACTTGGTTGAAAAATCTTCATGTGGGTTGGTGTGTATAAAAAACACGATTAAAATGAAGATGGTCTGCAAATGAATTTCTTTGCTAGATGCATAAATTATTTAGACAATTATAAAACCATTGTTGACATTGGTAATTATTATGAAAATCCGAAAGAGAAAGAAAACAGTATGGCGTTTATTGTTTGAATTTTTAAAAACGTAGGCATATTGGTATCATTGTGGTATATTGTAATCTATATTTTATATAAATTAACAATAATTATGACTAAGTTATCGCAACAACAGAGCTTCCATGTCATGCAGACGGAACTGTTTTGCATATTTTATTTCGATCTATGGATGAATTATTGCATTGTTTTCAACCAAGTACTTGGTATGTAAATGTATATTTTGTATCAACTTTTGATTTGATTTCATCATCAAAAAGTGACAGATAGATTTCATAACAATATATTTTTACATTTTAATTGGTTTTTATATTTTATTAAATAGAAGTATAATTTAGTTATTATCATATATTAAAAATCAAACAAATTATAATTTTTGTTTCAACAAAAATATATTATAATTTAGTGGGTGTTTCAAAAAAAAAGATTTCAATAAGTTAGGGCTTCTTACTTTTCAAAACTTTTTATAACTTTTTGGGTTCTAAAATTTAAATACTCATTAAAACATGTATAAGTCAAGACCAACACTTTAAAAAAAACAACTTATTGCTTTATTAATTTTTCCACCACAAAAGCTAATCCAAACACTTTTTAAAAAATTCATTCTCTCACCATCATAAGTCTGCAAGTCATTTTGCTTAAAAATCTTTTTGAGGTTCAAAAAGAAATCTTAAACACACTCTTGGGGTTTATTTTGGCGTATTGACAAAAAAACCACAACTGATATTTTGTTTACAATTTAACCATCGAAATCTGCTATTTGCGGTAACCTGCAAATTGAGCTAAATTGTAAGTAATAGCCTGTTCCGGTGGTTAAATTGCAAAAAAATAAATAAATTGGAGCCAAAATATAAGAATTTTTTTTACGGATTTCTCAAAAAAAAAATACAATCATTTATATTGTTTTTTACTACACAAAAGTCCTTTTGTTAATCCAAACACATTTTAAAAAACTTCTTTTGCAAAAAATCATTTTATAAAAAGTCATTCTACAAAAAAGACTTTTGATGTTCAAAAGTAATCCAAACACCCCCTAAGTCTACAAAATACTTTTTGTGGACTCGATTATTATTTTTTAAAAAACAGATTTTGTAAGTTATTTATTGAAAAATTTGGTTAGAAAGTGATTAATCCATCAATTTTGTATTTTATAATGCCTGATTAGAACTAGATGGAATTAGATGCGCCTTTGGCGCTTGTCACACCCCCAAACCAGACGGCGGAAACGTCTGGGGGTGGAGGACTCCATTTGTAGTATCACAACACATGCATTATAGTAATCAGAGTACAACCAACCACCGTATTTAAAAAGTATAAATATTTACACGTGTTTCATCATTGTATACTGAAACTAAATAGTTGTACAAAAGAAGAAGACAATACATAAATAGCTCCATTTTCTCAAAAGCTCGGGGTGTACCTGTCTACTTGTTCCCTGAGAATACAAGTAATTTGAAAAGAGAGTATCAACATAAAGTTGAGTGAGTGCATAAGTATTTATGTTTGAAATAATGTTTTCTGTTTCTTGAATATGTAAACTGTTTCCAGAAAACCCTATATTTTCTGCTGTATATGAAAAGTAGTTTTAGTTGTATAAAAGTGTTCTAATTGTAAACCTATGCTTGATTTCATCAAGTGTTATTGTAAACTGTAATGTAATACTTGTAAATTGTGTCTTGTAAACTGTATCTTGTAAACTAGTACTTTGAAAATGTACTTAAGTTTAGTTAATTATACACTAACGTATTGTTAATATCTTTATATGAGTTATTATAACCATACTAACTAGATGGACTGACCCAACGCTATGAATGCGCTGAAAGTTGTTGATAACAATTTGTCACTCACAGGCGTGAATACCTGACTGTAGCTAGCAGTTTGAGTGCGGGGTTGTCAATCCCAATATAGATCTATACACACATTGTTTCGATCCCCGGCTGGAGATTCTGGTTATAATGTCAGGACTTTACTATATTGTTTAAATGAATTAAACAACCTATACTACTTGACTCATAAAAGCATATAAACATTACATGTATAATAGTTATGAAAACCCAATCATTCTGAAATAAATGATTGATAGTATATTCTTGAATTAGTATTCTTAGCATGTATCTGAAAGAATGTATACGCTTGAATAGTTTTGAATTAAACCTTTGTTCTTGTAAAACAATGTACTTTAGTATACTTGAATCATGAATTAATGTTCTATGAATCATAAATTATACCTATTATAACTTATATGTACTTTCTGATTTGATAACGAGTATTCATGAATGTAACCCCTTACTCAACATGTTACAAATGGTATTTGAAACTTAATGAACAAACTTTTATACTTGTATACATATACAAATATATATAAGTAAAATTTAAATGACATTCGGACAAATAACCGATACTTGTAATCTCACATCCAAACAAGGAAAAGGAACCAAAGTGGGTTATCAGTCCTAAGCCTTTTAAATCTTATTTATATAAATATATATATACTAGTATGATTTTTGGGGAAAAATATAAGTTTATAAAAACATTTAAAAGAAGTTTGATATATTGAAATCCATTTTGGTGACTTGATGTCATTTTGAAACTATCATTTAAAACCATTTGATTTGATAAGATATTTGAAAATCACTTGTTTATAACACAAAAACTTTGTGTTAGACTTGTATTCCCCCCCCCCCCCTAAAACAGTAAAAGCTATTAAAATACGGGGGTATGAACTCACATGTTGTAAGTTATTCAAATGTAAGATTGGGGTAGGATGCTAAATGTCAAGTGAAGTCTTGAACACAAAGGATCCTATTAAGCATATAATGATACATACATGGATAATTAGTGTATATAACAACTAATTATGATAGGAAACCACTTTAGGGACTAGGAAACACTTGAATTTAAGTGTTACAATCACTTGTGATTGTTCTAAAGGAGTTTACGGCCACACAAAGTGTTCACGGCCATGGAGTTTACGGCCAATGATGTTCACGGCCTAAGAAGATCTTGAGTTTACGGCCAAGGGAGATACTCATGACCGTAAACTCTTATGTTCTTTGGAAATGGTTGTTTTCAAGGGTGTATGTTATGAGCTTCTATAGAATAGCTAGCATACGGAAG